GACAGCTTCAAGACGCCTCCTGTATGGAGAAACTAGTCGTATGCATTGCTCAGGTGTGATTTTGGCCCATTCTTCCACAGAGTCTTCAAATTTTGAAGGATCCGTGGGCCTCTTCTATGAACTCTGATCTTTAGTTCTTTCCATTGATTTTCTATTGGATTCAAGTCAGGTGAATGGCTGGGCCATTCTAGCAGCTTTATTTTCTTTCTCTGAAACCAACTGAGACTGAGACTGTGTTTGGCGTTGTCTTGCTGAAATGTCCACCCTTGTATCATCTTCATCATCCTGGTAGGTGTTGGGACTGAACCAGCTAATATTAATTTCCACTGACAAGGGGCAGGATTGCTTTCTAATTACTGATTGGCTTTCCATGCCTTTTTGCACCTCCCTTTCTTAATGTGCTCAATACTTTTCCCTGTGTCATTCCATTTTATTACACATAACTTAATTTCTGAATTTATTTGTTTTGTTTTGTTTGTATGTATGGATTACTTGGGTTGTTACCGACATCTGGTGAAAATTTCATGTCAACAGCACCTTTAGAAATATATTTACTGAGAAAAATAGTGACGTGTTCAATACTTATTTTACCCGCTGTACATAAAAAAAGTCTTACTTGACCCTAAACTCTTAAAGGGGTCATATGATGCTGCTAAAAAGAACATCGAGAATAAAAGTTACGCCTTCTTTTTTTGCGTGAACATTTGGGCGGCGTTATGCAAATCTTCCCGCATAGTGAGGTAGATATGTGGGGGCGTGTTCGAACGAGCCGTTTTAGGTAGGTGAGGCTGACTCTTAACTTTTATAAAGAATATCTCTTTGGATTTGAGACTTTAGTCTTTACAACTTTACAGATCTTCTTTATGCATCAAGAGCTTGTAACACTCCAAAGAGAAAGGAAAAAATGAAATCGCATCATATGACCCCTTTAAACGGTACTGTATATAGAAAATGTAAAAATTTGTGCCGTGTTGACTTGTTTTGATCCATGCCAGGTGAGCTGTCTGTTCTGAAGGTCAATTCATGCCTCAACTATGTTAATGTGTAAAGGATGTAACTCCCATAGTTTTTAGTCCACATACTAAAGAGTCCCTTGTAGCAGATTGGTGCCAAAAATGAGAAAGGAGCATTGCCCCACCTCCTACATATACCTCTGCTTGCATGCCAACTGCTACTAATCATTAATTTGCCATTGAGCTGATACTTTTATTCAAGGCCACATGCACTACAGTTATTGCAGGGACAGCTCCCCCAAAAGATTTAAGGCTACACCACTCTGAGTTGGCACCTTAAGACCACCACGATGGCCTGGATGATTATACTTCAGCTCTATTAACTGTTATGTTACATTGAAACCTATTACAGAAGCAACAGAGTATGAGGATAATTTTGTCAGTGGGTTACTACATCTTTCACTACTGGCATGCCTTTTAAAAATTATGTGACTGACCAAGTCCATTGATAAATGCTTTTTTGTGTATACAGATTTGGCGGAGTTTGTGTTCCTTGGTCTGTTTCTAATAGAGATGAGTCTGAAGATGTATGGCCTCGGGCCCAGGACCTACTTTCACTCTTCATTTAACTGCTTTGACTTTGGGGTGAGTAACATGCCGTCAGATACTAATGATATGCGGGACCAACAACAGTACATGTTTCTTTTCCAGTTAATGCCAGAGGTACTGCCTTATAAGAAGCAGAAGAATGCTGATGTCCAGCTGAGCCCCCTCAAAGACAGCAGCTTCAAGACATTTGACAAATTATACGATTATAATTATAATTTTTGAAATTATTGCTGGAAATGAGCTTTGTTTTCAAATATAAATTGTGCCTAGTGTATTTGTGGTCTATCTTTGGTGTGTTTAGGTGATTGTAGGTAGCATTTTCGAGGTGATTTGGGCAGCAGTAAAACCAGGAGCCTCTTTTGGCATTAGTGTGTTGCGAGCGCTGCGTTTGCTGAGGATATTCAAGGTTACCAAGTAAGAGATAATCTATGGTGCTCTGTAGATCATTGTCCTAAATGAATATATTTATACTAGGGGTGGGCGATATGACCAAAATCTTATATCACGATATGAGTAAATTTATTTCACAGTAACAATATATATCACAATATGGTTATTTTTGCTTAAATAAGGTCTTTATGATATCAACATTTTTGATACCATATATATTTCATAATTCACCAGAGTCAATATCACAAAAAAACTAATACTAGCCTAAATAAAAAACAAACAAACAAAAAAACTCAAGCTCACTGAAGACAAGTAAACAGTCAGCGATTGAATAAGAATAAGAAACTAATTACAAGCAATAGGACAAAAAAAACTACAGTAGAACAAATAAACAAGAAAAGTAATCAAATGTATAAAAAACACTGCTTATTCTTCACTGTATAAATGAAATACAGTATATATTTCTTCTTATTTAATTTACAAACGTGATTTAGACACGAGCAGTGAGAGATTTTCTCTCTTTTGTTGTATGATTACCATGAGTGACAGACAGCAGGAATATTAGACTGCTGTCACTTTAAGAGCTGCCCGGATCCAATATACTGTTACACATGTGTTTTCTTTCTCCGCTGTTGGCTTTTACTTAAGACCTACTGTGTTTACAAGGATACTTGCAAAGACGGGCATTTTGACACATAAAAATATGTGTATTTAACCATTCAAGGCCTACAAAGTGGCAAAAATAACAGTATTCCAGTGCTCTATAAGCACTGTCTTCACATGCGTGCGTTCTCTTTCGCTGCTGATTGCATTTTGACTTAAAATCACTTAGTTTTAAACTGCAGTGCTTAATAATATGTGCAAATGATACGTTTTTGTGATCACATAGCACGGCAACGTCATGTGAGCATGTAACCACAATAGAGATTATAGTCCAAAAACTCTACCGGTTGACAAATTTCTACCCGTTAATCGTGTCTACCAGTATATCGCCTACCCCTAATTTATCCCATGAATTTATTTATACAATAGTTAAATGCTTGATTCTGATTTGTTGACTTTTTCAAATGAAGTTTCAAAAGACACTAGACAAGAAATTGGATAACAATGAAAAGAAAATCTTGATTTTTGAAATTTGTTGTATAGTATAAGTGGAATAATTGACTCTTGACCATTGAAATACGATGTAATAAAATAATAAAATATTTAATAGGCCGGAGGTGTAACAAGTGCTGCAATTCATGGCATGGCTGTGTTAACACACTTGATGCGTGTATTAATTCTCAATAGTTCAACAGTCTGACTTTATGAATTTATATACAGTATCATACCACAAATCAAGTTATATTCCTTTCCCTAAACTATGTTATCATGGAATGCTTCGGCAGGTATTGGAACTCGTTACGGAATCTGGTGGTGTCTCTGCTCAACTCAATGAAGTCCATCATCAGCCTCCTGTTCCTGCTGTTTCTCTTCATTGTAGTGTTTGCTCTGCTGGGAATGCAGCTCTTCGGAGGACAGTAAGTACCAGGCTGAGGGTTACACTCACATGTCATCTAGTCCATGTTGTTTTAGGTTTTACACTGGACAAGCCAACACAGTCCCAAAATTGTTTATCATGCAAAAGTAAAAAAAAGTACCTAAAATTAAACAATGGATTGTATTAATATAACCCTAAACCTTATTTGATGGTTAGTGCTCAGATAACAGGTGTTTGTTTTGAAAGTTTGAATGTTTGGTTCCTAATTCTAACTGATTTCATGCTCTGAGCAGCCAATAATTTACTGTGCAAACAAATTGTGTACTGCACAAACCATGGTTGTAAGTGAATATGTATTTAAAAACTGGCTTCTACCAAGAGACGAATGAATTTGTGCCAAAATACTGTCAACAAAAGATATAGGAAGCATTTCTCTTCCTTAAAAAAGGCTATTTAATTTGTTGCCCTAACTATGCACAATAATATGGTTAGTTGAATTTTATTATGTTTGTTTTTCCCTACTGCCTGCAGTCAGAACAGGCCTGCAACCCACTTTTGGAATTCGACCCACCAGTTGAGAACCGCTTATGTAGGCCATTTACTTTTCAGAGTTCTTGTGCTGTACTTTTGATTGAAAATGCATAAATCATCTCTTGACGTGGAAAAAAAACCCTCCCTATTGTTTACGTTCCTTTCTGCATAAGCAGCTGTGAGTCTTCCAAGCCCTGTCGTTTCATTTACCCCTCAGCAACATGTTAACAAACATGACTGAGCTGATCCAGACGGCACAAGTTTTCATTTCTCTGTTCTATGAATTATTAATCGTACGCTGCAACAGAGAAATTGCCTCTACACACGCTTCCCATGAGGGAAATATCAGCTTAGATGCGCAAACACGCTGTCATGTGATCTACTGTAATAAGAAGAGTGCCAGATAAACAAATAGTCCGTGCGAAATGAGAAAATGTTATTGAAACATAACAATGTGAGCTGCAGGAGACACTATTCCCTTCTGATGGTGGTGAAGGCTTTCCAGATCTGTGCTTAGTGAAATGAGAAATTGCTTTTGTGCTTCTCTGGTACTGGATTTCAACACCATAGCACATTAATATTTAAGACTGTAGATGGACATGATAAACTGACTGTCTGATCTATGCAGTCATTTTCTGGGTTGGATGAAAGAGGTGGTTTCATACGTTTGGCTGTCAAGCACATCAGAGAGCAGAGCTACTGAAAATAGTCAGACCAGATAAAATTCTCACTCAGAATCTTTGTTTAATATATATTTTTAATAAATATGAACTTGAAATAAATTACACATAAAATGCTGTTTGCTAACCAGGTAGAACCCTCATATATATATATATATATATATATATATATATATATATAGTGTTTGTCCTGACTTTACATGAAAATGCTGCACAATGAAACAATCACAGCTGATCAAAACATATCTGATGATTAATATGCAACTACATGGGTTTTGAACCAATGAGATTTCATTGTTGGGGCTTTGTATGATTTTGTTTCATATGATGCAACATATGATTTTACGAAAGTTACATACCTAAAATCAAGACAATTTTAGATATAGAATATATATATTTTAGAATATATAGCAACATTTCACTTGTTTATAATCATCATTAACTTCAGTTTTCTCTCATTATATTGTTTTTGTGCTATTTTCTTCTAATAAAATGAGTAATGGTGGTTGGGCAAAGAAAGGCATCACGTTTGTTTTCCAGAAAAATGTAAACAAGCCCTTAGTTGTGAGACGTTTCTTCTCTCGTTTTAAGCATTTCTCCACATTCTCTAGTAATGAGGCCCCTACAGAGCCCCTGAGAGTGTACATGGAAGAGAATGGTGAAATAAGAAAGCATATTTATTAGTTTTTTGTTATTAGTTCTGGAGATGCATAGAGGAGCTCAGCTGAACTTTTATATGCAGATGAAGAGAAACATTATTATTTAGAAAATATCACAGTTTTTGCTGTCTTTGCGAGCAAACAAATTGAAAAAATGAACGATTTTGAAATTAGAGCAAAGCTGGCTCCTAAGCATACACATGAGACTCATCCAAGAAAATGATTCACAGCTCATCATCTCTCTTCTAGGTTTAATTTTGAAGATGAGACCCCGACGACCAACTTTGACACATTCCCAGCTGCTATCCTGACAGTGTTTCAGGTATTGACCATCTGGTGATATGTGTCTGAACGCTCTCATTTGATATGCATTTGAAATACAATTTTCCCATAATGTATTTTATCTCATAAGATTCTGACAGGAGAGGACTGGAATGCTGTGATGTATCATGGAATTGAATCCCAGGGAGGAGTGCACCGGGGAATGTTCTGCTCCGTGTACTTCATTGTGCTCACACTGTTTGGAAACTGTATCCTTTATATATAACATAGGACTGTCATTACTGTCAAGCTTTTTAATGGCCTAATTTTTCAAGTAAAGCAAACAAAATAATATGCACAAATGTTGGTTTCAGTAATGATACTCATTGTAAAATATAAAGTGCTGCATATTGCATGTACCGTATAAACTAAAGACACAAGACAGGTAGATATCTGCAACAGTATTCTTCACTAATGCCACAAAAACATCTGTATTTCTATTTCAGAATGCACAGAAAATGCTAACACGTAATAATTAAATAAGTAAATAAAAAAAAAAAAACTTCTCCCACACTTTATGCAATTTTAGGTGTAAAGTTGTTTTTGATGCTGACCTGCTCTTCTTACGCATTATTTTTTGTACAAATAACTGACTCGTAGATGATATTTCACACTACCTTAGCTTCACTGATCATTAAATTCTACCACACGAAGAATGCAAATTACTTAATATGTTTATTTGTCTATTTTAATACATTTTAATATATTTTAAAATGTAATAATTTGTGTGATAGCAAAACTGAATTTTCAGCAGCCATTGCTCCAGTCTGCACTGTCACATGATCGATTAGAAATAATTCTAATACTGATTTGGTGCTCAAAAGAAGAACAGAACAGCATTTATTTGAAATCTTTTATAACATAATGTTATCAATTTAATTAATCTGTGCCGGAAAAAAAAGCATTCATTTCTTTACAATAAATCTTACTGAGCCCAAACTTTCAGTGTGTGTTAACCGATTGCATAAAAAAAACTTTGGCAACCTGACTTGTTTGACAGTTTTATTAGATTAGATTCACTTTCACCCAAATTCCTTAAAGCACATTTGATCAGACACTCTCCTCAATGTCTTTTTGGCCATCGCTGTTGATAATCTTGCCAATGCACAGGAACTCACCAAGGTTGGTTGGACATGATAAGGCTGTACATATGGCAAAAAATATGAAGAAGTCTTGTGGCAAATTATACATTTTTTGGATGCATAGATTTAGTTAACAAAACATAGACAAAAAAGAAATCCACACAATGAACAAATTCCATTGAAAAGTAGTATTTCACTGAAGATTATCATATAAAGTGACAACAGATTACAAAAGTGCACTTAAAAAGTGACTCTGCACAAAAAGACAAAAAAACAAAACTTTTCAGTTCAAGGCTGTAGATATGGCCACATGTACATACATGGCCAATACTAGTCACTGTCACAGCCATCCGTACAGTACCTGCACACACACCACATGAGTCTCACATGTTGTGTACACCGAATGTGTGATCCTATCGCCATGCACTGACAGCTTTTATTAGTTTCATAAGACTGTCTGTAAGGGCTCTTTTGATCTGACTGATGTTTGCCCTGGTCAATAACTCAAGGTAATGAAGCTTTCAGTCCGTTGTGGGATTTACAGCCTTACGTGAAGCCGGTACCAACAGTATAGGGCCATAAGGCTTCTGGGACATCACTGTCTTGATTTGTTGATGCTAGTGGTGCTTGCCATTAGATGCAACTTTTACTTGTCTGTCATTCTCTGTTTTTCTGTCTTGCTCCTCTCTCAGGATGAGGAGGAGCAGGAGGAGGCCATCAGTAAGAAACTGGCTCTGCAGAAAGCCAAGGAGGTAAAGGAGGTCAGCCCCATGTCGGCCGCTAACATTTCCATCACAGCGTAAGTCAAGGGGCATTAAACCTGAAGTCAGGGTACTGCCCTCCCCTTTCACTAACCCTCCAAAACACCTATTCATCACCCCATCATGTCCTCTCATTGCTTTTTTTTATGTGTCCCAAGAAACATATTTCTGTTTGTCTCTGTAAGCACATTTCTTGGTGTTGGTTGTTTTATTTTACTGTTGCCACTTTTATTTGGTCCTTAGTATGTCTCTGTAGGACTCTTTGAGTCTGTTCTCTTTGCAGATGGTCTTGCACTCATAATTGGTTGTCTTTAAATGACATGTATGCTTGATTCCGCCAGGCTGTGTGGAAATCTATGGATTTTTAATGCTATCCCGCTGAGGCCAACTGAAAAGTCAGTCTGTTTGATATGATTTGTTTCTAAGTACAGTACAGTAGAAAATACATTTAGCCAATGAATGATGAATCAAATGAATCATGCCATCAAAATCTGATTTACTTGTGTGCATTTTAACCTAAATTGGCTGTTTTACTTTTGCTAAAGACGGTTATTGTGGCAATCCAATGAATCAAATCCACTTAAGAATTAAAATCCAACCGTCATATTTGATCACCGACAATTCTGAATATTGGGGTAACGGTCATTTCAATGTCAATTGTGGTTACGGCCCTGGATATGTATTTTTTTGATTTTTGTAATATTTATATTGAGTTGACATAGTTATTTATTTATTTATTTGTAATTTTTCATTATGAAAGACATTTTTCCAGTGTTCAAAAAGTCGTTACTGACACCATGCCTTCTTTCTTTGCGTGCACATTTGCGGCGGGATTATGCAAATATTTCCACATAGTGGGGTAGATATGTGGGGGCGTGTTAGAATGAGCCGTTTTAGGGGGGCGTGGCAGAGTCTTAACTTTGATAAAGAATATCCCTTTTTTTGATTTTTGAGACTTTAGTCTTTGCAACTTCAGGGATCTTATCTATGCACAATCAGCTTGTAACACTCCAAAGAGAAAGGAAAACTTGAAATCGCATCATATGACCCCTTTAAATTATTTAATAGAACAATATAATGACTAATTTAGTGTAATATAATTCAATTAATTTAATTCATTTTAATGCACTTGGAATTTGACTGTCTTTCCTAATACTGTGATGCCTTCTCACCTGTTTTGTTTTAAATTCTGTTTTGAATTCACACTATTGTTGATATGTACTTCCCATTGAGTTGGGTGGAGTTAGAGTCAGAGTGATTGACAGCTGCAGTCCCTGACACTGACTCCGCCCCCACCAAACTATTTCTTTCCCCTCTCATGGTTTTTGTTTTTGGCATATGCAGTTTTATAAGGCCAAATCCTGGTGCTCTTTCATGCAGCTCCTCCAACTCCAGCTCTCATTCACCGTGAGTTCATTTACTCTCTGTTCAAATCTCCTCTCCTCCTCTGTCCCAGCACACTGCTCTTGCATGATGCCAGACAGCCAAACTAGTCTTGCTGACTAGAGTCGTTCAAAGTGAATCTTGCAGTTTAACTGATGAAATATTATACATGGGTCATGAGAGGAAAACCATAAAGAGTAAAATCGGCGAAGGGTAACATTTATAATAGCTTTCATACCATTCTTTAATGATTCTGTAACAACATGTAATGTTTTACAAATCATTAGTTAACAAATATGAGACTACATTGAGTTTTTGGATTAAAAAATATTATAGTTATAATTTTAAATGATTTAGAAGTTTTTATACAAGTAAATGTTCAGAAAATTTTCTTCAAATAAACCTTTAATTTAAATTGTTATCGTGATCATGTAGTTTGTAGTGGACAAAAATCAGTTACCATTTTAATGGGAACATATGCACATATATGCTTATATTAATATTAAAATCTTCATGAGCTACTGATATTGTTGATTTTTTTTCTCAGACTTAATGAAAGCAATTATAAGGTGTTTCTGAAAAAGTGTAAGTGTAGACTTGAGGTAAACTATCAGTATTAATCTGCTTCAGTGAAATGCAACTGCATCAGTGGATTACTGTATATACTTACTGTACTTTCTTTTCTAATGTTATGTTTGGCACGTTTCTTAAGCGAGCAGGTCAGGAAAGTTTCTGGAAACTCTAGATTAACTGTTCGCTGGGCTCATTGGCTGCCGCTGGCATTGAGCCGTGTTCTGAGAATCGGCCGTCTGTTTCCCAGTGAGCATCACTACTAGAGCTTCTGCTACTGTTAGTGTCTAATGAGTCAGCACTCCTGTCAGACGAGCCCACTGCGAGAGCGTAGACACACACACACACACGCACACACACACACACATATGCTCTCTCTTACACATACAGGCAGGTGAACTCAGGAATCCAGTACTATACTCTTAATTAAACAGAAATTAGAAACAGAACTTGGCTCATTGTCAAACTTTTGAGAAGATAAAAGTTAAAAGACATTTGTACTCAAGCTAGTAATAGATTTTTTTTATTCATTTTTGGTGATGTAACGGAACAGATTACCCAAAAACAAAAAGTTTTTCATCATTTACTGACCGTCATATAATTCCAAACCCGTACGACTGACCTTTTTAATGGAACAAAGAAGGTGAATGTTTGAAGAATATCCTCTCATTTTCAAATAATAAAAGTGAATGAGGACTAGGGCTGTTACAAGACAAAAAAGCATTAGAAAATTGCTAATGTGAAGTAAAAATACACAATAAAAGGTGTATTTCATTATTTTATAAATTGTTATGATTATTTAATAATACATTTATCTTCACAGGAACTGTTAACTGCAAATTGTTAGTTTTGAGATGAGTACAATCTGTGAATTAATCAGTCTTTTGATTCAAATCTTTTTAATGAATTGATTGTTCTAGTTCACAAAACCAGTCTGAAGGATTCATTCACAAATGGGACATCACTACTTCTCTGATGAACTCTAATGAACTGACAATATAAAGATTTTCAGTCAATAACATTTAAACGTCTATCTGCTGTATGGCTTCAGAAGATTTGAAATGTAGCACACAAGACATATGAAATGCTTTTATTATACTTTTATGGTTAATTTTGGGGCTTGTTATCCTTATTCCTCATTGATTTTAATTTATATTTAAAAGAGTGACTATTAAATGATTGTATTTCACAGAAGAAAAGTCATATGGGTTTGGAACTACATAAGGGTGAGTGAATGATGACAGAATTGTCATTTTTTTTGTGAAATATTCCTCTAATGTTTCAGTTTGAGGCTCTGAGCAGTACTGAAGATTTAAGGGTTGTAGAGAGTCTGGATAAGTCTGCCATCATCTCATCTCTTTCTACTGTTTTGTACATTCTTTCATTTTTCCACCATTACTTTTCCACTGTCTGTCTTTTATACTGTACATATTTATTCCTTACTGGTTTTCTTGTCAAATGTTTGTCTTCTAACCTGTTTTCTGTGGCACTGTGGGGGCTCTTAGCGTGTCCGTGTGTATATGTGTATTTCAATGTGTGCTGTATGTGTTTTAGGAGTTATGTCTGCTCCCCTGCACATCACTACTTGAGGTAATGGTACTACATAGGGCATGACTACTGCTTCGGTACATGAATGGACGTATTTTGCTCATCTGTATAACAAAAGACAAATGCTCATCCTTGACGCACCTCATAGTGTTTGACAATGTGTACAGTATTGGACATTTCAGAATCTTGCACCTCATTCATATATATATATGTCAACGTTAACCCATGATTTCATTTTTAACCCTTGGACAGCTTTAAAAAAAAGTTGTTCATCAACTACATTTCACTCTTTGTACTTTAAAGCTGTTGTAAGCAAGTTTTGGTCAATACCACGCTTAAAATGTAGAGTTTGATGAAGATGTGAATAGTTTTTATTAGCCAGAGAAAATTAGCTAAGCCAAAGTTATCAATACTGCTAACACTGTTTACAGCAGCTTTATAGTACTGCACATTGAGAACATCCACAGTCTTTATTTTTGCTAAGTATGTTAATATTTAATAGAAAAGGGGAAATATTGGAACTGTGATAATGATTAGTACATATAATCTGACTCAGTGAGCTGTAGTGCTCATGCAAGTTTTCAGGGCCCTCTCTGCTATCTATGATTATTAACATGGCCAAAAGTCAAATAAACACAAATGGGAAATGCAGATCACACCTTGAGGTCCTGTCATACAGTAAAACCAGAGAGTTTGCACCACCTCGTCCTGCTTGTCCACAAGAGGTACAGTCTGACCTCAGGACTGTTTCACACCACAAGGCCCTGTTAGTGCTTTAGCTGTAAATAGTGTCTGAAAATCAGTCTCTCAGCTCCCTCCCAGCCTCAGAGAGTGTTCTCTTTCCCATCACCTGTCTACACATTGCTGTAGTTCACTCATCACTCCCTGGAACACGGCCTGCCTGCTAGAGGTGTGCCCAGAATAAAGTGATGTGGAGAAGAGAGAAGTGTAGACGTGTTACTTTTCCCAAGCTGAAGCTTTTCCTTGTCTTTTCTTTACAGCAATAACTGTCTTGATTCATGTTCTCTTAATGCTAACTAACTGGATAAAAAATAAGGTATAAGATGACATTACCCAGAAGAGGACAAATATAGGAGACTTCTGTCATCATTTGTTCACGCTCATGTCGTTCTAAATCCGAATGACATGAGGTGTGATTAAACAATGACAGAATTTCTTTTTTGCGTGAACTATTGCTTATAAGGGAGCAATAGATATGAAGTCATTAGCCCTCTAAATGCCCTACATTTAAGGTATAGGATGCATGGTTAAACTTCATGACCTAAACCATTGTTCACAAACGTTTGCAGGATGAGTAAAGCATGCCCATAACTAAACTTTGTAATCTGGCATCCATAAAGACCTTCTTTTTATTTACGCATTGATTAGTTCCAGTCCTCAAATCTGCTTGAAGTAACGCCATTCCAAGAGCACTGACATTTAGTCCAGCAGCACTGGGACTTTTTACTGTTTGTAGCTCTCCACTGTGTTCAGTGTTAGACAGATCCTGCTTTTGGCTTTGTTTAGAGCTATTTTAGTTAGCAGAGCAAAAACAGGCAAAATAACCATCCATATTATGTCTAAAATGTAAATTATTTAATATAAACTTGCAATGTTGTAGTCGAGACCAGCTCATTCATATCTGAATCGAGACCCAAACTAGAAGTAAAACTGAATCAGAGTCAAGACTGAGTTCACATGCTCCAGAGTTCATGACAAGATAAAGGTCTTGGTCTTGGTTCTCATGTCTTGAGTCTTCTTTGTGTCTCGGTCTTGACTCAAACTCAACCCTCTTCTGGTCTTGACTTCAAAACTGTTAATTTGTGTGAACTTCAGCCGTCCAAAATGAAGCTCAGTTTTCAAATCAGTAAGGATTTTTTAAAGAATGCAAACAGGCAATCACCATCTTGAAAGGGGCTCTCGACATGGATGGAGACTAACGTCAACATCATGCCTAATTGTTTTATTTAATTGAATCTGTCCGAGGCTTACACATTTGTTTCCTTAAATCTTCTCTTCACTAGTAAAGAACAGCAGCGTTCTCTAAAGATGATGTCCGTGTGGGAGCAGCGCACCACGCAGATTCGTAAGCACATTCTGGCCAGCAGCGAGACGTTGTACCAAGAGGAGCTCAACCCCCGGCTGACCTCCAACCTTCACCTCCGCCCTGACATGAAAACCCACCTGGACCGGCCTCTGGTGGTGGAACCTCATTGTGATGGTCCCATCAGTCCCCACAGAGGCTGGGACAAACCCCAGGACTTGCAAGGGGAGGGCGGCACACCGGAGAAACGAGTCCCCCCTGTGATGGAGCCACCACAGTCACACCCACCACGCAAACACCACCATCACAGGGAGCGTCCCTCCAATGAGACCAATGAAAACGGCGACACAGGTCATGGCAAAGAAGGCCGGCATCACGTCCATCACAGCCGCAGTAAGGAGCACGATGGGACACGTTGTAAGGAGGGGAAGAGTGACAGGAGCCGGAACAGAGAGGGGGGCCGCAGACATCACCATCAGAGCTCAGTAGACGAGGGAGTGGGAGGTGGGGAGAGAGAACATCGTCACCATCACTCTCATAGGCATAGCAGAGAGGGCAATGGAGTAGTCAGCGCAGGGAAGAGTGAACGGCGGTCCAGGCAGAAGGATGGCTCACATTCGGGAACAAGGGAGGGGGAGAGGTGCTCCAGGGGCGAAAATGGAGGTAATGGAGGGAGGAGACGGCACAGACCACGTACCAGTAAAGCTCAGTCGACATTGGAAGGAGAAGAGCAACGAGGGAATGAAGAGCAGGAGGAGGGCAAGTCACACAGCCACAGGTAAAACTATTTTTGAAAAGGTGCCATTTTTTAAAATGATAAATTAGATTAAACAGCACATTTGTTCCCAAGAAAACTGAACTACGTTCCAGTAGCTATGAGACCTTGTCTTTTACATTATTCCAGCAGTGGAGGAGATTCTGATTTGTCCCAAGAACTCACTTTAATCCATTCAGCAAAAAGATTCATTGAGATTCGTTCATTGATTCATTCAGTAGACACCCCAGTAGGTAGTGGCCAGTGACTTTTGTGTACTATAAGCAAATTTATCTACTCAACAGATTTGTTTGGAAATATTTTAGGCCAGGAATAGAAACAAATCGTATTATTTAATAAAATGTGCGTATCTACATATCTATGATGCAAAAAAGAATGTTGTCAGTCAAACCATCCTCATCCATGAACGAGTTTGAGTCCTACTTTGTTTCTGAGTCAGTTTGTTTCCCAGTGCCTTTCTGAGTCAATCCAAACTCAAAACACCAACTCGTTCATTGAAAAGTCTACTTATTCAGTAGGTCCAACCAATAATATGCTCTGAAATATGAATCACTGCATGGAATTGACAGTGATGGATTTGTTCACCTAAAAGACTAGTTCAGAAACACAGAGACGTTCATGACCAAAACGCCAATGTGTAACCTCATTTTGACTGCTGTAGGCACACGGACATGGGGGGAGATTCATTGGTTGCAAACCCCCATCAACCTTCAGTTGGGAACCGATGGTGTCTTGAGAAACCAGAAGACTCGGACAATAAACAAAATATTGGGCAGACTGGAGGAATGGGCACACACATACCTGTGACCGTCACGTCTCCCCCTGGAGAAACGACCCTTATTCCCAGTTAGTATTTCTCATACAGCCATATCAGGTCACTGTGACAAATTTTTCACTCATTTTATACTCGCATTTGTGTGCCACTTTTTTAAGCGTGTTAACATTGCTGCTGGCAACAAGCCAGTGTTGGTCTAACAAAAGCTTACAAGTTTATAAATTCACTCATGACATTTGTTTTTCTTCTTAGTGAACAGTATAGACAGTGAGACAATGCCCATGACTGAGAAGAATCTGGAGGATCTGAACCAGAGCAGCCCTCGTCCAATCCTCCCCTTCAGCTCCATGTTCATCTTCAGCCCAACCAATCCGTAAGTGTGTGTGGAAAATTTGTGAGTCCCAATGTTTTCAAAACCATGTGCATTTGAACATTTATCCCAGTGCAGTGTAACAAAAGCTGTTGTCAGAGCTGCAATCTGAACATTTCTTTTTTGGTAACTTGACAGTAGCTCACATTCAAAAAGGCTTTCCAGAAATATGCTTTTTTTGTCAACAAGTAGTGGTGTAGCATGGCACAGTCAAGTGAGCATATCAAGTATATTCTTGCTTTCAAGTAATGTTTAGACAGTTTGTTATCTACAGTAATTTAAAAAAATTGCTCGTAATGAAATGAAAGTGCTGACAGATCTTTTCCATAGTGTGACATACATTTAAAGCAGCTTCCACAACACAGTTGAGTTTTGTTTTGAGTATTCAGATACGGCATTTGTAGATGGTGATTGGCAAAATACCAATGCTGTTATATCTGCAAATGTTTCTGGTTATTACTTGTCTCAACCGTCACTAATAATGGTTGTAAAGTTTAATTGTGTGTGTTTAAGGTAAACGCTCTTTAAGATCTTTAAGACTAAAAGGCATCCAATCCCATAAACCTCCATATAAAGCTGTGTATTATTGGGCAATTGCCAAATGCAGCTGTCTGTTATGATCCCGTTGGTGCAACAATATAGGAATACTTTTATTTTACTATATACTAATGCCACATGAGTGTTTGTTGACCTGACCATGCCTGCTAAAATCTACGCTATTACTGCATTAATCATTGAACTCTGAGACCTTGCTTATGGCCTGCATGAAAATATTAATTATCGGTGGTTATTTAAATGTATCTGTCTGTAGATTTAAAGTAATGTTTAGGTATCACACTTCATTATGTAATTGCCTTCAGCCTCACTCTTATAGTGTGTTGTTTTTTTGTGTGTGTGTGTGTGTGTGCAGGGTGAGACGTCTGTGCCACTACATTGTGAGCCTGCGCTACTTTGAGATGTGTATCCTGGTGGTGATTGCCATGAGCAGTATAGCCCTGGCTGCGGAGGACCCAGTCCAAGCCAATGCCCCTCGTAACAATGTACGTCTCTCATGTTTTGTCTGTGCTGGTCTGACTGTGCAAAGTACGATTTTGTCAAAGTTTGACCTCATTTTCCTGTATGTCCCAAATGACTGATAATAGTCTGATTTTACTTTCACTTCATAGGTACTGAAGTATTTAGACTATGTCTTCACTGGTGTCTTCACATTTGAGATGGTCATTAAGGTAATTTTGTGGTAAATTACACTGTTTAATTGGATATCTGATAGAAGAAGTGATCCAGAATTCCCCTCATGACCTGAGATAAGGCTATTTGGTAACAGTGCACAACTACTGTATGCATTTTCATAAACGACTAGTCAGTGGTTTGTCTGAACAACTAGTCAACTAGTTGGTCTAATTATGATCACATACTGTAGGACATGATCTTGTGTAGTCATAAATAGTTTCAGTACAGTAACTGACAGATTCTCAACAAATAAATCGGCTGAATTTCTATAATATTTTATTTGACAAAACTGTCCTATTCCTCACAATAAAAGACTCCTACTGTTAGGATTCTGTATAATAATGGGAACATTGCTCAGCGAATGATATAAAGTCTGTCAGTAATTGTCTTGAAATTTATTGTAAAGGCAGTGAATTTGTTACAGAAATGGTGCTTTGATGGCTGTAGTGATGGTGTCAAGGTTTCAACCTAAGTAATCTTTAATATTTATGTTTCTCCTTTGAAAAGATGGTGGATTTAGGTTTATTGCTGCATCCTGGTTCCTACTTCAGAGATCTGTGGAACATTCTGGACTTCGTTGTGGTCAGTGGTGCACTGGTGGCATTCGCATTCTCGTAAGTTGCCTTTAATTTACAAACACCTGCCTAAACTCCCATAAATCAGAAAACTCTTAATTGACTCTTTTACTTACGCGTGTTTGAAGTTTATCATTGATCTTGGCTACAAAATACAGAGTAATTTGAGACACCTTTTAGTCCAAGTTCTTGCCCGTATACTCTTATTCTTTTTAAAAGGTTTTACTTTACACTCGTTCCCACTGCATGACAAGAGTATCTTTGTCTTTGTTGTACACATTCAAAGCTGCAAACTCCCACTGATCTGTAATTTCCTTCCTGTCCCTCTCTCAGAGGTGTGGGTCAGTTGACACCACTTTATTGCATGCGGTCTCAAAATGAGTGTGTGTGTGTGTGTGTGTGTGAAGGAGCTAATAAAGGAGTTGTCTGATAAGATCAGCTGTTTGCATCTCCTGTGCTGTAATGGATGGGCCATTGCAACACTTTAGTATTGATGAAATGCTATTACCTGCTTTTAGAAACACAACAGAAAATAGAAAGGAGCAGTAATGTTAAGAGTTTTAATTGTTATGGTTCTGGTGCTACAGTATATTGTATTATGAAATCAGTTGCAATTTTGACTTCACATGATGCACCTACCCCTCCACTGCCTGACGCGTTTCTTTCTTTCTTGCTTTCTTTCTTTCTTTCTTTCAATTAAAATTGCAACTGCACGTAATATACATTACAGTATATTCATGTACATATATATATATATTTGGGTCTGGGGTGCATTTAATTTTGTGATTTAATTACCCCGTTGACAAGACCAGCATTGCAGTGTTTTGGATGCAGATCCCTGGAATGAGATACTGATGTTCAGTGTTGGGAAGGTTACTTTGAAAATCTAATACAGATTACAAGTTACCCTACTTAAAATGTAATAAGTACTTTTCAATTACTTTATTAAAGTAATGTAACTGATTACATTTGATTACTTTTTGATTACTTTTCTAAATTTATAATGTTTTAAACTGTTAATCATTTTCAAGCATGTAAATCAGGCAGGATTAACCTAACAGTAGTACTGAGCACTGATTACTGTCAGACTTTCAAAATCCTTCATCACTTGAATTAAGATTATAATATTTAAATTTTAAAGGAGACATTGGATGCAAAATATCTTCATTTGCATATAAATGTGTCTTAGTAGTGCGTAGACACAACCACCCTACAATGATAAAAATCCATTCACTCCTTTTTTTGAATCCCCCAAAAACCTAAACAGTTATCAAGCCAATATGATGTCATATTGCTCAGACCCCTTCCACGACTGTTGACGTACTGTCCCATATTAGCATATTTCCACCCTTAGCCAGTTGTACGAAGTCCGTCATTTTCTCCGTGCTTGAGCAGCTGTAGCGACAACAATGTCTTGTTAGCAATGCAGGTGTTTTATTGTTAGATGTAGAAGAATATAAGAGTCCTAATTTTCTCCAGACATCAGAGCCACTGAGGACGCAGTGTATTAGCTTTTGATTTTGATGGTAATGCGCCAACGAATACACCTAAATTTGTTTATGTCTGCGCAAATAATTTACCCCAGACTGCTTTCTGAATGAGGGACAATTCAAGGCACACTTTGTTAAAAAGTTAAAAAGCAAGGATGGATCAGTACCCATTGTTCATGATCCAGCTGCACCTCCAGAAGTAGTAAGTCTCACACTTTTTATTTTTTTTATGATTATTTGCGAATCGCCTTATTTGCGGGCCGGGGTGAGCAGAGCTCATTATCATGTAATGACATATGCACCGAAACGAGTCGCTGTGAACAGAACTGTTTTTGACAAGGTAAAAGGGTGTTGTTTTACACGACCACTGAGACCATTTCAAGAAGACCCTAAAGAATCATACCAACTTGTGGAAAATGGGCATCCTGTTATAAGCTCCTGAAACATTGGTGTTTCATATTTTAGAGCACTTACTGCAATTTATGAAAAAAAAATCAATCAAATCTGTATGTGGGAGTGTGTTTAAAAAAAAAAACCTTTGTAATCCTTAACATTTTCATAAGTATCTGTAATTTAATTACACATTTTTTTCTCAGTAACTGTAACTGATTACAGTTACTTTTATTTTGTAATTAAATTACGTAATTCCATTACATGTGACTAGTTACACTGCTGGTGCTCTGGTGTCCCCATTAGGCTTCTTAACAAATTTAACCACCAAGACTTTCTTGGTTAGCCAACTTTACCTAAAAGATCAGTGCAAAGGGGATGGTTTCCTGCCATGTCACAAGTAATTATCAATGAGTAAGGCAAACTGAACAGAGAGTGGGTGCAATACTGCTTCGGAATAACAAGGGTATCTCAGAATGAAGGGGTCTCTGAGCTGTACTGACTAATCTGTCCTACTTCCTGTTTGTTTTTATGTTTGTTGCTGTGTTGTCATGTCAAAAACGTGTTAAATGTGAGTTTATTGATGTGCTGTCACTGACTTTCCTCTCTTCCTCTGTTTCTGCCTGGAATCACTTGAAGGAGCTTCATGGGGTAATGCCTTAACTCTCTCTGTGTCTTTGTTTCTGTCTCTGTCTCTCTCTCTCTCTCTTTCACTGTTTGTCTTCTTGCCTGTCTCTGTTTGAGTCAAATAATGCTTAGCCCATAGGCACGTGTTGAAGCATGTGATCTTCTGCAGTGTTTCAGCCTCTCCATAATCCATCATTTAGCATCACTCACACATTTGCAGCCAGTGAGCTTGATCTTCTTCTCCATGTCATTTAATTCTCTGTTGTCATGGAGGGCAGACACTATTGATCTGTTTCATTTCCTTGAAACATTACTACCATTCTCAGTAGATCTTCAGTGCTTACTGAATATGGAGCATCCTGGGCGATCCCCACATTGACCTCAGACAGGATGATCAGTGCATGTGTCATATCATATAAAAAATGACCTGTTCAGTTGTGTTGGAGTGGCATATCAGGGCAGGTCGGGCTTTTTTTGGCCAGTGATTGCACCATTGTTCACTTGAAACATCACATCCGTGCTCCATTTTTGTTGGATCGGGCATGAGAACACGAACGTATTTCCTGTACATGCTCATCTTTCTGCATGTTTTCGGATTCACGAGAGCATGTGATGCACTGCAAATGTGACTGCTGCGATTGGCCAAGTCTTTAAAAGTGCATAAACATAAAAGACAGTTAAAACTATGCATGCACTGATATTAAAATTCTATAATGACTAAATAAATTAAATACAAAACATAAAAAAATGAACAGTATAATGAATGAAAAATGGATATTCATTTTGAGATTTTTTTAGGCATAATGTTATTCATTTAGAGTTTTTTTTAGGTATCTTTTCAAGCTCACTTTCATTTAGCTGTTATTAAAAAAAATAATTTTTAAAGATTAACTTGATTGTTAGATGACGGCAAAGGTAATCTAAATGTTAAAATATGAGAAATGAGCATGAAAAATTATATATCCAATATCAACTCAACTAAATTTCTAGTGCACTTTCAAAAACCACAATGTTCCACCAAAGTGCTGGACATAAAAGTAATCACATAAATAAAGCCCAAAAAACAACAAAAATTCATACAATTTACAATACATTATTAAAAGCTAAGGAAAATAAATGAGTTTTTAAAGCCCTCTGAAGTGCCCCTAAGGTGGGAGATGTTTTATGACAACCGAAGCTTGTTCCAGAGTTTAGGAGCTGCCATTGAAAAAGCTCCTATTTACATTTCAGGTGCAATCAAGAAACCGTCAGACACAGCTGATCATTTGAGCGAAGACATCTCAAAGGTTGATATAACCTGTTTATTAGCTGATATATATGCTATACCTACTGATAAATTAAAAAATTTGACTATGAGCCTATAAATGATCTGATACAAAGATATTATGCATCCCTAGATATAACATTTTGCCCATATGCCGCGGACCGAAACAGTTGTACAATAAAGTACAACAGTAATACTATACAGTTTAGGTTTATAACCATTTGCTGGCATCTTTCAACCATGCTCAAGGTTCATAAGTGTGATATGAATCAGATCAGGACTGATCTACGGCTCCACCATCACTTTCCTAGATTGGCATGTCTTGGTATTCGCTCCAGATCTTGATTGTGCTGGTTTTCAGATCCACCTTCAGATGTTCCCTCTCTGTCAAGTGTACCCTTCATCTCTCCTCCAGCCGTCTCTACAGACTCCAGCAAAAGAAGCTGTCATTCTGTTACATCCTTAAAAGAAATGAATGGCAGTTGGAAGTGTCGGTTTCACCCACCATACAAAGCCTCTTCCTCCTTTTTGTCAGTTTCCAAAACATTTGCCTAAAAAAAGTCCTGCAATTTCCTGTTTCTCCTGCATACAGTCATCAAAGTCATCATGCCTTGTGTTTCAGCCTCACAAAAGAACGTGATGGTGCTCATACAAGTCTTTTTCATTCTCATTGAAATGCTATGTGCAATGTTCTGAAAAGATGATGTGGTTTACTATTAGTGCAGAGGTACTTTCTGTTCTCAGCATGTCATAATGTTTTGCCTTTTGCTTTGTGTTCTTCTCATTCATTAGATCACTTCAAAGCGTAAACAGGTGGGGAACCCCCGATATTCTTTTTTCTCCTTGATAAATCTTCTCTATTCCTCATTGTCCTGGGCTTACTGGGATAATGTCCTTTACTGTCACTACATATTAGTAGAGTGAGAGTATCTGTACAGGGTTGGAGCCTCTACAATAACACTGATGGCTTTCATCAGAAACTCTAAATGATTTTTGATTGGTGATGTATTGATGCGGAACAGTATTTCTCCACCACAATTGTTATCTGGGGTCCTGTGAAAGTTATCATGGAGTCCAGTAGGACGTTATTGAGGCTCTTTATAGTTTGCAGTGGGTTTGGGGAATAAACATCAGGCCCTGTACAGTAAATGCATGCTAGACTAATGTGCATCAGGGAGCATGGGTGGAGTTGCATGACCTTGTTGAGCCCTAAGATTGGGCCAAAGGAGTAACTTCACCATGCTGACCATGCTGTAAGGTCTCTGCTGATTGGCTGTTAGATTGGTGTTTATTGGATTTATAGAATCATGTATGAACTGTGCATGTGTGAGTAGACGTTGGCACTTTCTAGGGGTGACGTTGAGCCTTTGCTTAATGTAAATGCTAGAAATCTGCAAATGTACTACAACTTGCTCTTGCACATGGAAAGGTCTGTTGTAGTTGTAGGTAATTTCTTTTGAAATATGTCTATGTGCAATGGAGGGGAATCACTGCTTGGGGATTTTTATATTGTAAGCATTTTTACAATAATTTACAATAATAAGTTACTTTCTGCTGGTTCATCTGTCAGCACCAATCATATACCTGCCAAAACCTTGTTTATATCAACGCATTATCGAAGTAAGAAACCGTGAATAAATGAGATGCGATATGACCTCAGATATTCTGTTGTTCTCTCTTCCATTGCTGCACTGGAAGAACTAAATGGTACCTGCAAACTAATACAAATGATAATGACCGGCTTACTGTACATTATCCCCCTTATTACACGGCTACTCACGACACCAAATAAATAAAAACATGAAATATTTGAGCTGAAATTATTTTACATGTATAAAACCACCTTTAAGAGGAAGAATTAAAATGGCATAATCCATTACAATGTACAAAGCAATCCGCCGAGCTTCGAGACAAACACTATACCAATTTTACAGTAATATTAACAGTATACGGAAGTCCTCCAGAGTAATTTTTACTACAGTGAATAATTGAGATGCAAGATGGCATCAGTTGCGTTTGCAGGCAGTGTAATATGAGAGGCGTAGAAGATGAGCCAGTTTTATAAACAGCGTTGCCGCTGCCATGGGTGGCGGTATGGAAAATCTGGCCTCTGAATGCTGCGATTGACCAATCAGAATGAAATATTCCAGAGAGCCGTGTAATAATTAGTTGTAATGTAACATATGATAAGTGGGAGAATTAATTATTACAGAAATAGTCATTTATCTGCACTTAATTTTGTCAGACATCTGACAAAACACATGCCCTGCATCAAAATAGGGGCTCAGTGAAGGTTATTTGAATGAATGTGATGTCTCACAAATAATATGATTCTGTTTGCTCTTTGCCTGCATTAGATATAATGCGAAGGGCTTCAGTTATTTCATATGACCATGGAGTACTTCCTCATGATTCAGTTATTGACTATGCTTGTCCTTGCAGTTACTTCATTAAATGACATTGTAAGCTTGGCGGTTATGATTTGAGCATTTAGGAGCTGAAGCATGACTGATTTCCGCTGAGGACTGCTCTTTTCTTTAAGGGTGAAATAACTTGAATTACATTTTATTTAGCTGTTCTTTTTCTTTTCTTGCTGTTAGCTCTGTGTTTAATGAATACATGCACTGTATTCAAATCTATGCAGTCAGCTCATCAAGGTGACACATTTGAAGCATGTCAGCTTGATAAAGACTTAAAAACAAAACGGCATTGGTTCCTGTAAAGAAACAGTGCCCTTTTATAGGGCGGGTTTCTTTGTTATCATTGGTGGCGTGTTGTTGTTTTAGAATCTGATGCACAGCAGCTTTTGGGTTTAATTCATGTATCCTTTCTTATTTTATGCATGAAGAGTGCTAATACTAAAGTATCATTCAATAACAGGCTAACAGTTCTGATGGAGCATATTAACTACATAGATATTAACTATTTTACCTGCATGCAATAATGTGAGGGGTGTACTCACTTCTGTGAGATACTGTATGTATTTCATAGTCTGTCATCAAAGCATGTGCTTTTGTAAAATAACATTGAACCATTGTTGGAGCATTTTCAAGCTATGACACTAAACAATGCTAATTTATCAGAGAATTAGCTCTTGGTGTTTATTTAGTTTGTCTATAAAAAGGTGAGTATGTTTAGTCTAGTGTCTCATTATTGACATTTAAACAGATGGAAACATTTAAATCATGTTTACTCACATTCTCATGTGTTTTGTCTGGATATGTATGAATACTTTGATGAAGGCTGTCTACAGCATGTTTGATCCTGTATTTATTGACCATTTGCTTATTTTGACTTGTGTAGAGGAACCAAGGGCAAAGACATCAGCACCATCAAGTCCCTGAGGGTGTTGCGAGTCTTGCGACCACTGAAGACCATTAAACGTCTACCAAAACTGAAGGTACAGTTTTGGTTGCAGTCCATTAATACAGCCATCACGGTTAGGAAATTACAGTGGGGAAAATATTTATTTGATCCCCTGCTGATTTTGTAAGTTTGCCCACTTACAAAGAAATTATAAAATGACTGTAATTTTTATGGTAGGTTTATTTTAACGGATAGAGACAGAATATCAACCAAAAAATCCAGAAAAAACACATTATATAAAGGTTAGAAACTGATTTGCATTTCAAAACAACCATCAATCGGCCTCGGTCTGGAGCTCCGTGCAAGATCTCGCCTCATGGAGTAAGGATGATCATGAGAAAGGTAAGGGATCAGCCCCGAACTACACGGGAGGAGCTTCTTAATGATCTTAAGGCAGTTGGGACCACAGTCACCAAGCAAAACATTGGTAACACACTACGCCACAATGGACTGAAATCCTGCAGTGCCCGCAAGGTCCCCCTGCTCAAGAAGGCACATGTACAGGCCC